ATGTACTTCATAGCAGTGTTTTTATTATCAAATAGTCCATTGACAATTTGGTTCAGTCACCCGCAACAGAAGAAACGTATATTATTCTCTATTCTTCAAAAATATAAAAAAAATCCGTAGGTGGTCTTCTTTTTTTGTTCTTGCCCTAACTAAAAATACAAAGTTACTTCAAATCGGACGCGATTTATCAGTCGCAACACTAACAGCTATCGCGATCAATGTTTATGCGCAACACTACCCTGAAAGAAAACGCGAAAAGTACTAATCAAAAGAAACCGCGAGGTGCATCATTATTTGAAACACTAATCTATTAAGTATAAAAAGAACAAATTACGTGCACCAAGTAATACGAATCCCTAATTAAAAATCCAGCGCAGCCATCTCAGGCTGCGGAGAATCATAGTGGCAGCCACTTTGGCTGCTTGGTGACTCCTCAAATGATGATGGTGTCAAATTTTGGGCTTTTCATATGACGAAATACTAATGCAAAACGCGTGAATTTACAACATATCGGTCGCGATTTATTTATGCGCAACACTAATGGCACTCGCGGCTGGTTTTTGTACGCAACTCTACCCTGGAAGAGAACGCGAAAAAGTGTAATCAAAAGCTACATTGACTCTAAATACTACTTTTAAACGGACGCGATATTCATTATACGCAACACTAATTGCAATCGCGGTCGATCTGTATTACGCAACACTACCCTGAAATAAAACGCGAAAGATTCTATTCAAAAGCAAGACTCTTAATCATAACAAATCGGACGCGATCAATAATCACTTACATAAACGCAACTCTAACATCATTCGCAGTTGATCTGTCTTACACAACACTACTCTGAAATAAAACGCGAAAAATTCTAATAAAAACAATTCTCACAAACGAACGCGATTTATATTTTCATGTCGCAACACTAAAACCAAACGCGAATTGCCCAATTGTCACACAATGATATCCCACGTTGGAGTACATGACCCAAAGAAAGAAACAAACTACTACTACAGGCGAGTACGGTGACAAAATAGTAACAGTAATAACTCCCCATCCTCGAATCCGAAGATGGAGAGCCATTCGTTGCAGCCCTTTCTTGTGACAATTTGTCAGGGCCTCTCTTCTTTCTTCGGACGCATTGTCCCATCTGAAACTTATAGCTACGGTCGAGGTTCAGTGCAATACGTGGACGTTCAACCCGATGAACCACACGTCTAGAACCTCGAGGGAACGAGCGTTTCGAACTACCCTACTGATCACAACCGCGACCGCAAAGCAACGACTCAGAGAGTCGAGACCTAAAGAATCGAGAGTAGATTCCGAAACAAACGGACAAAAGCTTCGTTTGCATCGTGATCACAACGACTCCTCAAATCCACCTACAGGGGCAGACCCATAACGTACGCGCGTGACCTGTCCAAACTAAAGTGACGAGATCTGCCCTGGACCCTACCTACCGGGATTTAACATACACACCACAAGTTAAGTTACCTACCTACCTAACCCTATATTTAAAAATGCCAAAACAATCACACCAACACACGCGCTCAACGATCCTCAATCAAGACTCTCGGGCGCGACCTAAACTAGGGAGATGTCCCGGGACACCTCCGACACCCGAGGATACCATACACAACATTCACTCTCTAAAGGTACGTACCAGTTCCTGAAATCGACTGACAAAGACTAGCGACCATTGCGTACATGTAATATGTATAAATAAATATTTATTTGGAATGCTTGGATGTAATACAATCGTTGATAATTATATGCATTAGATCAATCATACAGTACTTTCATCCTTTCATTAATTTATCATTGATTTAGGATAAAGGTTAATATTGAAGCTACAATAAATACTAATAGAAACATAATCGTACGAATTACCATTTCATTTGTAAGCTATAATGAATGTTTAACCCGACGCAATTCCACATCCTATCCACACACACACACATACACACATGTGGAAAGTACGTCGGTGCACGATTCGCTAGCGCAGAGTTAGTCGCCACACATATTATTATTATAAATTTTATAAACTAAGTCATCGTGCCCATTGCCTTCGCTCATCCAACTAGCACCTGGGCACGTGAATGAGTTTAGGCAACGAACACGAAAGGGTTAAACCTGAAAATCCTCAGTAAAAAGAATAATTAGTAAATCTAAGCGGTCTAGCATCGTATTCTTTTGCGTTATTTTATTTTCAGTGAAAATGACTCGAATCTTAAATTGTAATATTTATTAATATTAATTTTTATTAATAAAATGATTTTAATGAAAATTTAATTATTTATGAAAAAATGTGATATATAAGTTCTTGCAATAGTATAATTTGTATTGATAATTTAATATTCATACTGTCCTACTAAAGTGATTCCCTTGTTAAAGTATACTTTTTAATTATAAAAGGATGCAAATTATGTTACTTTAACGCAGGAATCGACTTGTCGCGAAACGTCCTTCTTGTACATACACGGAAAATTTCAACGGAAAGAATATGCATATACTTTCAATATACATTTTCAAAAAAATAGAAGGAGATACAATCATTATATATATACTGAATAATACAGTATATATTAAATTTTAATTCAATATTATCATTTGTATGTATTGATTTTAATGATATTGTAAAATAAAAACTAATAAAACCCGAAGTACAAGAAGGCCCTTAGCCTAAACAAATAAATAAAACAAGAAATGTTACTACTCACGAGTATGCTATGCAATCCATACCCGCGGTCACTGTATTCGCCAAATACCACGTATACTTACAACCAGTCACCCGTGTCGATTTGGACCTTTCGTCCTACGACATGATCGGGGACCAGAGAAACCAAAAAGCATGCGACTCACCAACCGTTGTTTTGATACAGGGTTACGTAGTGGCTCTGCTGTCGCTAATCATCGGAATAGCTCTGCATAACCCACGTCGACATTGGAGTACCTCTGCATTACCCACGTTGAACTTCGGAGTAGTTCTGCTTTACCTGCGTCGAACATCGAAGAACTTTTACTGGATGATGTATAAAACCTGCAATAAATAATATGTTCCAAAAATTACAATAGTTATAATATTAAAACATTAAAAGTGCAAAATCATACATTTTATGTTCTACGATGATGACACACGAATGTTAAAAAGATATTTAACTTCGATCTCTTATGTTTCTAATACATTCATTATAAATTTACTATAAAGATGTGTAGCTTCATGAAGATTTCAAGTATCTAAAAAGTGTTGTGTAATGAAGCGAATGCGTGTAAGCTTACAAAATTAGTTTATAATGAATGTAAAAAGAAACTGTCAAAATTTGCAACATCTTAGATTTTATGTGTGTACAACAAAGGTATGTAAATGTTGAAAGAATGTTTAAGTTTTCATTTTCTCTGTTTCGTTAAATCAGTAAGAAAGCATGAAAATGTATATCATCGTAGAAGTTCACAGTTTCTAGAAAATGTAGCGTGCCATAGTAAAAGTTCATCGACTCATAAAATTTATCAATTTATAATGAATGTAAGAAAACACTGTAAATTTGCAAAATTATACGATTTGTGTCTAACAAAAGAATCTAATTATTGAAAGAATGTTTACGATTTTACCTTTTATGTTTCATTATACACATATTTATAAGTCATTATAAATATGTTGGAAACATAAAAGATAAAATCTTAAACATTTTTTCAATATTTAGATGCATTTGTTAAGGAGATAGAAATTGTATAATTCTGCAAATTTGTACAATTTTGTTCTATATACATAATAAACTAACAAAATTTGAATTTACGTTATTTGAATTGCAATTGTAATTAATACATAAATATTATTTGTTTATGGTCAAAATGGCCAAAATGTTTAACATCATTATTGTTCAAAAAATGAAAAAAAAAACTGTAAATTTATCATTGTTATCAGGTAATAGCGATTATATGTAAAACATGTAGGAGATAATGTAACCGAATTATCGATCAAAAATTATACATGTAACTGTTAATTAAAATTAACGATTATGAAATATAATTGTTAATTTTAATTAATCATAATTACAATTTCGATAGCAATATTAAAATTGTAATTAATAGTCTTTATGAAACAACTAATAAATTGGTAACCGTAAAGAAATGGAGTAAAAATGATTTCGTAATTATTAAGCAGAAATAGTAATAAAACAAAAGGAAAGATAATCAATTTAATCTACTAATGACATTAATTAAAGACAACATTACCTATTATTCTGCTTTCCCTGGTAAGCTGCACAATTTGTCTGGCGTTATGGTGTCCAGAAATTTCGATGGAAATTTTACACGTACAGTAGACGCCATTTGAACGGAAAATGGCCGTTGGTGAACGTTACGCAGACTAATGGCGTCAGTTCCTGAAACATTCAAGAATTCGAATTTATAACCAAGGTACGATAAGTATATTTTTTTACTGTACCTAAGCCATTACTTAATTTGGAAAAATGAAAAACAAACCGATAATACTACTCTGCAAGACGTACTCCCATAGTACGAAGTGATATTTGTACGTATATCAATTGGTACCTCAGGGAGAACGAAAATGACGAAAGTGCGAAATCGATCTAATTTTCTCAAAAAACCGATTCAATTGAGAAGCAAGGGTATTAACATATCAATGAGATGATAAGCAGTAGCACAAGGTATAAACATGAACGATTATATGTTAATTGATTTGAATTATGCGTACCTATTAATTCGCGGATCACCGATCGACATCACACGTCTAATCTCTCCAATTGCCGCCAAACGAAGAACGCCTCGGTTCTCGGCGTCGTTCTTCTGCGCAGTGGGTTGCCGGCGC